CGATAATTGTTGGCATTAAAAATAGCATCCATCAGAAAGTCTCACAATGAACTGGCAGCATTAGAGCCGCTGTTGGGACAAATAGAGACTTATAATACAACGTAAATTAGCTTTAGAAATTATTGTAATAAATTCTGTGGCAGCAGTTGAGATATTGTGGTAATATTATGGTAAATTCATAATGATCATTAATTAAGGATGGAGGAGGTATAAAGTATATTACAATATAAATTTAATATTAAGAATAAACAGCCATTGATTGTGTTTCGGGAATAATTATTTATATCTGATACTTGGAGCCACTGAAGAAGGGAATATTATTCTTGAATCCTTAAATAATAATAATAATAATAATAATAATAATAATAATAATAATAATAATAATAATAATAATAATAATAATAATTATTATTATTATTATTATTAATTCAAAAGCACATCACAAATAACGTGACACACCACTAAGAGTCATCATAAATATTAAAAATGGACATCAAGCTTCTTTGTTTTTGTTAAAACATTGCATTCCCCGTTGGAATCTGATTTAAGGTTAACAGTAAAGTAATTGTTCTCTGGAAAAACAAACCCAAGAATGCCAGCGTTAAGAACACAAGTACCTCAACACACAGGGCTCTCTCGCCGGTTGTCGCATTAGCGCTCGAGACAACCGGATCGCGCTATTCCAGCCGCTGCTTCCCACAGGGCCAGCGTCATCTGCCAACGCGTGCGCGTGTCTGTGCGTGTGTATGCGCACGCGCGTGTCCGTCCATCACGTGGCCGGACGCCGGCGCCGTGGAGCCCGCCGCCTCAGCCTCCGCGATCGCCGGGTGAAGATGCGACATGATGACTGTAAGAGCAGTAACGTTCCTGGAATGTTATATTTCTTACACTTATTTCAAACTTCTTGTCGCAGTACATGACACATTAGAATATTATTAATATTCCGGTAAACAAAAGTCCTTCCTTCAAATTACAGAATGGCTAGAATGGCAAGAATAACAAAAATGTTATTCTTGCAATGGTACTGAGTTTACACTCGTTCCTTCTCATGTAGCACTAAACAGAAATTCCTATGAGCTTTGAGGCCCCGACAAAATCCTTGGAGAATGAAGGGAAATGCATGCCCACCCTGTTTGACCTTCTCGCCCACTGTACAGTGTTGGCTCCCCCGGCGCCGACATGGCGAACCTCCACCGCAACAATGGTTCCTTGAGACCACAGCTCCGGTCCATTAGCCACCGCCAGGAGCGCAACCACCTTCGCGATACGACCAGGGCCCCTTCGCCTCCAGCCAAGGACGTGCGAGCAACGCCACCAAAGCCCTGTATTCGCGCCGTTTGCTCACCTCTCCTGTTGCTTTCGACGCGAACCAAAAAAGTGCCCTTGATCTTCAAGAAGCAGCATATGCGTGACCCACATTCAAGGTAAACTTCTCCGAGTACTTTTGCCTTCAGCAAAGAGGGCTCCCAAGATATAGTTCGAAATTCCTAGATAATGAGTTCATGTTAATTTATGTTCAGGAGTAATTTTGGTTCTAATTTAATCTTTACAACTTTTATTTCGAGCCTATTGAAACAAAATCCACCCCTAAAGAGGGAACTATTCTAACAAGAAATTATCTTTACTTTGTCATTTACATTCAAGTAAATTATTTTTGTATTTGTTTTGCTCTTTTATTTTAACGAAGAGTTTGAAATATTAGTTCATAATGCTCAAACAGCGATAAATTCGTTATTTTCTGATTGATATTCTTCATTGATGTTTGTTTTTTTAATCCTTACTTTCATATACCATTCAATTATTCATCTTTTGAAGTGAGAAACCTTTGGGGCAAAACATTAAATTGAAGGACAGAAGGAGGAGTCGTTAAGCAGATTAAAGTTCCAATAAAGGATCTCAGACAAACATTCTTGCGAGATAATTGACTGGAAACTGACCCAAAATCAACAATATATGAAATGGTGGGTTTTCGCTTAATAAAGAAGACGTACTTATCTCAATATAATTTGTAAACAGAATTTATGTCACAATGCCTTCATAAATGAAGAAAAAATATTGTGATATCAGTAAATATTGATACATAACCTTTGTTTAATAATATACTGTTCACGTACACATTTGTACTTTCTCACATACTGTGTTTTTAACATTGTAAAGAGAAACTAGTCATGACTAATTGTTTTGTTAAAAACTTCGTATTGTGGCGACCTTATATGGAAAAATAGATAATTATTGTTCCTAAATTTAGTAAATTACTTCCTCTTACGCAATGTGCTGTCAAAAATCACGTTTTTTTAAGCCCTTGACACCGAAAAATTGGCCGTCGAAACGTCTGTCCATCCATATCACTGTCCGTTCGATGTGAGCAACTCTAGATTAAGTAGCCAGAAAATTGATATTTCCGTCTTGATCTAGATATCGCAACCCCATGAATTTTAAACGTATATTTTATTTCGTGAATGATTCTCAAATGTTATTTTAAATAGCTCCAGTTTTTGTAAATTTATTTTTTAGATCTTAGTACGAATATAAAAATGGTCCTATTTTCCTTAAATTCTCTAAACGATTGAAAATTGTAAACGTTTAAACCCCATTCGGTGTCTTCCTACAATTACAACATGAATATAATGATATTTCTTTTTTATGTATTATTCAAAATAAACTTTTAAAATCTTGTATACTTTTTCAAAATATGATTAGTTTTCGCTTAACATTGCGAGAGTAGTACAAGTAGTAAGAGTTGTACAATACTAGGGAATGGCGGTACGTCACTCGATACATTTGGAGAACATTACTTGACTGCTATTTTTATTCCTACATTTAGGTATATCAATCCCCATTTTCTCTTTAAGACAAAAAAATGATCCATTAAAATGAAATAAAACATCAGTCCGATTTCCAATTCTCAATTAAGAGTAAAAGTTTTTAAAAAATCAATCAAAACTATCTTAATTTTGTAATCTTACTTACTTAAGAGTGATACAAAAGCATGAACTTTGGTCGTACAGATTAGAAGGATTAACAGACAAATATTCTTGCCTGTTAAAAGTGCTATCCGTCCGTAAATGAGAATTGTTAATTTATGGAAACTTGTTAATTTATTTCACATTATTGCTAAAAGCAATAAATAACTGAATAATTTAAGAACAAAATACAAATATAAATCAAGGAAACAATTCGCCATTAAACATATTCTTATCATTTAGCAAAGATGTATATATAAAAGAGAATGTAGTAGGAAAATAAACATCAAATAGTACTAAGCAGTAAAGAACAAAAACATAGTAGATTTCTCGTCTATTTGTTAAATCAAAATCTGGCAAACATAGTTTCGTTTGAGACCGCGCCAGCTTGAAATGTGTCTGGATTTTAACGGGGAGTAAGGGGATGTGCCTGGGCCCATACGAGCGCCGGATTCCCCAGGTGGACAAGAAACTCGCGCGGGCCGGGTTTGACGTGTCTGCTGTACACTTTGTGAATGGATGGAGCTAAATGCACTGAATGACATGACAGATATTTCCATTTTTTCAAATTTATCAAGATCTTTGGATACATTTTCTTCATGTTTTCCATTACCTTTATATATGAAGTTGTCATTAATAAAATATCATAATCGACTTGAAAATCGAATATGGCTCATTGTAAAACCATTACTAGAATCATTATTAGAGATAAGTGTTGCGTTTTCCCTCCAATTTCTCGAAAAAAAAGCAGCATTATTGTTTATTTTTTCTGGAAATTTGTTTTCAAAAACCTCTGAAAAGAATCACCAGTTCTGAGTCTCAACAATTCAATACTTCAAGAAATCATTTAATTAACCTTAATTTAGGATTTGACGGTTTTCTCGTTAACTAGTAATTCAATATATTTATAATTACTTAGAGCATTTAATGATATCTTTGAATCTAAATTTATTGTGCCTTTCCTTCGAGAACGAACAGAACATATAGATCTTCGAGGAGACGGTGCTGTTAGCTGGCTCCACAACTGCTGGTCTTAGGTTTGCGAACTCTTTTTTTTGTCGCATTACGGTGCTTTCTTGTTACGAATATTTATTCCTAAAAAATTGCTTGGAACTGACAAATGACATTTTCTAAATAGAGGGATTAGTAAATTCTAAGGTTTCAATCGATATCTTGACGATATGAATCAATCCAGCGTTTACCTACATCGTAGATTTGCATTTTACCGAATTCAAGTGAACACACGGGGGGAAAAAACGATTTTAATCATCATACGTTTTGCACAAGCTTTGAGAACGCCCCCGACCAACCCGTCTACCGTCTACTTTCTCACGCCGTCTCAGCATATCTTCTCACCGCCTGCGATTGATTAGTATTTTAGACTTTGTTTCCTACAAAGGTCAACATTCCAGGAAGTGTAGAGCGAATTGTATTCCGGGTGATGGCGGTGTTCCCCCCCGTGGATCATCAGACTCGGCCTCGACCTACACTACGGTTTTGTAGGGTTTTCCCTTCCAGATATCTTTCCCAGGAGGACACGCCCCTAGCCGGGACAAGCTCCCGTTTGGTCCCTCGACTTGTGTGATAGCGTGGTGCATGTAAGCGGGAATAAAGGGTGAGGAGGAAATAAGGGTGCAGAAGGGAAGATCCTGCGCCATCTTCGGCCCGTTTGTTAAGTTTGGCTCCGGAAGTTGCATGGATATTAATGGAGAAATTAAGGAATACTACTAATTAGAGCATCCGGGGACTAGCATTCTTCTAAAGACAGTGGGGAACTTCGACCTTCCGAAAATCCTCCTCCTTCGGGACTGGACCCCGTAGAGCATCCCATTCTTGTGGAGGTGATGGCTCTGCTGCCAGCGAGCCATCGCAACCCGTCGTAAGCGACCTTCAACCCGCGCTCCCACGCGCCCTGTCGCCGCCTCGCCCATTCACTGTGCACTCGCGGGCGGCCGCCTTCCGTTTCCCCCCGCCCGCCGCCTCCGCGCGTGTTTGCTCGCTACTCAGCCCGGGGGAACCGCAGCCTTCATTCTCTTCATGAAAAATCTCGAGGGTTTGAAAACATGCATGCGCCTCCGCCTGCACTCTTTCAGCGGCAGGGCAGGGAGGGGATGGCAAGGCGGGGAGAGGCAGGAACGGAACGAAGAGATGGGAATGACGGGGATGGCGGGAATGACAGGAAGAGGCGGAGATGGACAGGGAGGAGCAGGTGGGATAGCAAGAGCGGAGAGCGGAAGGGAGGACAGGGATGGATAGGGAGAAATGGGGAGGGGCAGGGAAGATCGGGAATGGATGAGCGGCGAGGAAGGGACGGGACGGGAAGGGGCGGGAAGGACATCGGAAGGGTGGAGAAGGGCGCAGAAAGGGTGTGCGAGGCATTGTGGATTGGCCCAGAGCAGAACAGTGCGATGTAAAGCAAGGTAGTTTGGAAGTATGACGCGCGGGCCGCTGCAGAGCAGAAAGGTACTAGCGCAGGGGGTGGTAGGGGCGGAGAGCGAAGGGTGGGAATGGCCTAAAGGCGGTGGGGGGGGGTCATGGAATATGCTGTTGTTCGGTTTGTGGAAATGTAAGGCATTGCCGGGCAGTGCGGGCCGTTTTGAAGGGAGTATCTTTCTGCCGCGAGATGCGTGGCTTTAGGTTGTGGTCCTGCAGTTACAGTTGAGTATGTAGCGGGTCGGATGTAAGGTTCATAAGAACGTTTCGGGGCCGAAGCAAGATGGCGGACAGTGGGGCGGGCAGAGCATGGCGGAAAGGATAAGCACCGAGGGGGTGGGGGGCAGCGCAGGATGGGGCGGCGGGATACCGATTGCAAGCTGGCGTGGATTGATTGATTAAGTGAATCCGAGCGCGTCCACTGCTAATGTCACAAGTCCCATAAGTGTAGTGAGTGCTTTAGCTCAGGAAGTGGTGGGGATCTTCCCACGTTGATGAGATCCAGCGCCAACTTACCGTCTGCTGACCGTATTTTCCCCAACCAAGTGTCTCCCAGCAGCGGGGCACCGTCTCAACCTTGACAAGCTCTAAGCTCCAGGCCGGTCTCCCGTCATGTGTGGTAGTGTAGTGCACGTTAAAGAAAGTGTGTGTAAGTAAGGCGTAGAATAGGACAAGGAAGAGGAAGGAAAGATCGTGGGTTGTCTGTGCCCGTTCTGTAGAGTATTGCTCGAGCATTCGCCTGGCATTTATCGGAGAAATCACGGAAAACTACTGATCAAAGCAACCGTTTGCTAGAATTCTCCTCCAGACTGTGGCTGATTTCGACCTAGC